CCACCCACCCTCTACTAACTATTCCCCTCCCGTATAGTCTCTGGTATCTACATTTATCCTGCCTACTGTCATATCTTCTTAGAAGTAAAATAATTTTGATTCAGTAACATTTCTTTATACTTCAAGATACATTTTGGTAGTATCATTAGTTTAAATATTCTTGCCCCAGAAAAGGAATTTTGAATATAATAATATACACTGATCAGCTGATATTAGTTGAGTAAGGATAGAAGGACATGGGACATATGTCAAATTTTCCAAGAAGAGTTAAAAGCAGAAGGGACCCAGGTAAACTATCATCATGACTAATATTTTGCAAAGTGAGAGATGTTTATCCTCTTCTAGGAGCAGGTCCCTCATATTAAAGCATAAAACTTACCCACCAGGAAGTATGAGCTGAAAACAAACCCACCTGTGTCTGCCCTTTGCCTCAGTACAAAGGAAATGGTTTCAGTCTTTTGTTCAGTTTATTTCTGACTCTGGTTTAAATTCAGGACCAATTCATAAGGACAGGTTTCCTTAACGATTTTTACATTTTTCATTACTTAAGGTATGTTACGGTACTCACTATAAGCACAACTTTACATTGAAGAATTTTTTGTCGATTAGAGTGTTCCTAACATAAGCACACACAATAAAGAATATTTCTTTGGTAATAAATATTTTCTTTTAGAGAGTTTTTTTGTTTGTTTGTTTGTTTGTTTTGCTATGGGGTATGTGTACTTGCCAGAGAGAGACAGACAGACAGACAGACAGAAAGAGATAAATTGCCCCCCCAGGAGGGATGGCCACTCTGCAATCCCTTCTTCTCTTAGAATCTTGGACACACATGCACACATGCCAGGCATGAGTTTTAAGCCACTGGGTCTGAGACGCTAACTGCGGTTGACTGCATGGGAGGGAGTCCAGCGACATAGCCGTTACGCTAACTGCTGGTCCCATCTCTTTAGTAAGATGTTCGTGGCTAACAGTACCTTAAATGAGCTTTCAACATAATGATAAATCATTGAGTTATTTTTTTTTAAAGATTAATGATTAAATCTTTAAAAGTACCTAAGATTCAAAAATTTACAGAGGGGGGCAGCAGGTATTGTGGTAGTTAAGGTGTTGGACACCCACATGGCCAACTGCAGTTCAAATCATGGACCTGGCGGCTTGGTTTCTCATTTTCCCTCTCTTTGTCTTTCTCTGGTCAAATTAAATAATAGTAATAAATTAAATTAAATAATTTAAAAATGTATGTAGATTCCCAACATAACAATGAACTATTTCATTGTTTCCAAATATACACATATTTTTATGTCTTCTAAGACAAAGTAAAATGAATTTAAAAATTATCTGGAAAGCTTACACAGAACTCACAGTTCGTTTTTTATGTTTAAAGGTTTTTGCCTTAGGGCATATATGCTGGCAGGAAGACAGAGACACAGTGAGAGGGGAAAGTGAGAAATCACACCCCCCCCAGGGAGGATGGCCACACCACAATCTCTTCTCCATAGGGTGCATGCACTTGCTAGAGAGAAACAGAGACAGAGAAAGAGAGAAAGTAAGAAATCACCCTCCCCAGGGGGGATGGCCATGACACAATCCCTTCTCCTCCATTCTTCTCTCAGGACTTTGGGCATACAGGCATGTGTGCCTGGAATGATTTTTTTTAAAAGAATTATTTATTTATTATTAATATTATTTTTTCACATGAGTTTTGCCAGAGAAAGCCAGAGAGAAAGGAAGAGTGAGAAAGCAAGCTGCCAGGTCCAGGACTCAAACCATGGCCAGTCATGTGGGAATTCCAGCACCTTAACCACCATGCTACCTGCTGGCCCTGCCTGGAATGATTTTTAAGTCACTGGGTCCATGATTCGAACTGCAGTCAGCCATGTGGGAGTCCAGTACGTTAACTATCATGCCACCTGCTGCTCCAGGTTATATCTATCCTATTTATTTCTATTAATTATAATATAAGTTAATTTTACACTGTTGCTTATCATTATGTTTTATGTTTCAACTTAGAACTTGTATAAAAGTCTGAGTGAAGTGAAGTCTGAAGTGGAGATGGTAATAAAAACTGGACGTCAGATTGTACAGAAAAAACAGACGGAAAACCCCAAAGAGCTTGATGAAAGAGTAACAGCTTTGAAATTGCATTATAATGAGCTGGGTGCAAAGGTACGTGTACGCTGCTGTATTTATCATAAAGAGACAGTCAGTTATGTATGATCTGAGTCTCAGAAATTTTCTCCCTTCTCCCCTGCCCTCTATATTTATCTATGTATATTTCTTATTAAGAAATAATTATCAATGAGACTCTGTTCTTCAGTATAGATTGAAGAATATGTGAAAGATAATTTGTTTTATTTATCAGATAGTTTTTTTTGTTTGTTTTTTGTTTGAGATTTTTCTTATAGGGTGCGTGCACTCACTGGAGAGAGACAGTAAGAGGGAAAATGAGAAGTCAGCCCCCAGAGAGGATAGCCATGCTGTTGTAGATTCCCATCGAATCATCAACCACCAAAGCCAGATTAAGGGTAAAGGGAGTCTTTTTTTTTTTTTTTTTTGGGGGGGTTTTCACTATAGGGTGCATGCCCTCGCCTGACAGAGAGAGACAGAGAGACAGA